ATTGCCACTACATACACAGTTTTTTAAACTAACAATTAAGACAACATACAATAGCTAGCAGAGTGTGACAGTATTCTGGAATAAATGGTCCCCAGAGAAGGAAGTAACAGTCAGTCTTTGATATTTCCAAGGTATACATGCCCTTGAAATTATTCATTTAAAGTATTTCTTTAACCTTTTTCCTTTTCACAGTGACTGCTGTAAACACCTCAAAGTGACATCAAGAGGACTGAAATTTCTTAACTGCAGTCATCCTAACTGAAGTCTGGAGAAACTGAAATCACTATTTTAAGTAGTAAATAAAGTAAACATCTCTGACACCTGAAAAGTCATAAATTGTGCACAGCTGTACAATTGTGCACTGTACACATGCCTGCACTGATGTGCCTAGGAGAATAAGGGCCAAAGGCATTTCTACCTATTCATCTGTAGTAATAGATGCAATTCAAAACTCATCAAGGTCAGTGACACCGATTTCACTGGGTTTTGGATAAGCCCCTGAAAAATGTTCCAGCTCTTTAAAACATCGAAGAAAAGTTGAGTAATTGGAATAAATCACACTAGAAGTTGAGTAAATAGAAAGAAAAAGACAAACAAACACGTGACTACTGATCGATAATGTGTGGTTTAAGGATTTTCACTACAGAACTCTGCCAAGTTCTCCCATCCCTCTCCTGCCATTTGCAATTCTTTCATCTTGCTTGAGCTGGTCCTGTCAGTCAAAGCTGTTACTACAGCAGTTTGTTATGAGGAACAAATTTACTTTCCATTAAATCCATTTTCACACATGATCTAATCCAATGCACATTCAAAGCCTGAAACAGACTCAAAAATCAAACAAAATTGTATTTATGCATCAAAACACAGGTTAGTTAACCAAGTTTTTTTTATTTTAATGTATTGGGAACATTTTCTCAAATTAAAAATAGAAACTTTAAAATTACAGTCTAAACATAATATGTACACATATGCTACATATAATCAAGTAGAAATATTTCCATTTACGATCTAACAGTGAAAAATGTAGGAAGTTATTTCAGATAAAGACTAGTAGCACTGAAAACCTGGTAGCACTCTTCAGTTTTCATCTTATATATTCAATGGTTTTCAGGAATACCCCTAACTGAAACCAAAATTAACCTTTCTGGAAATAAAACTAAGAATAAACATATTCAAGACGTCTATTTATTTCATCTTCCTTTGCCCCTTGTGCTTTATATTTATAGCGTAGACATTTGCAGCCCTTTTGAATGAATTTATGCAGTCATCTCATCCAGCAACACAACTGTCATGCCTAAATTCAAGGCAATCCCCCAAACAATAACAATGTAAATTAACTCCCCCAAAGTGTTTCCAAGTTTTACGTGGAAAGTTGCATTTGCAAATGAATTAGCAAAAATAACCCCTGGCTGTTAAACAATTTTCAGTGCCATCTCTTAGGAACTTGGGTTGTGCGGGAGAAATGGAGCTTTCAAAAACAGAGATCAGCAACATTTTGCTACTGCTGGCTATGCTTGTGACCCAGAACCCTCCCATGGGCTGCAAATCTCTGCCCCCCCCACCACGCCCCGAGTGCCCAAGCCACCTGCACCTACCTTCACCACAGATTCAAGTGGCCAAGACTGATGGAAAGGGTTAAAATTTGGTGGTGCTGTATTTGGGAGAGTGGAGTGACCAGCAGACACCTCGGAAGGAACAGACAGAACACACAGGCTGTCGGATATCTCCTCTAGGGCCCTGGCTACTGCAGAAGGAATAGATGGAACAAGGCAGGTGGTTGGGCCCCCTCTGCTGCCGCAACTAGAGTGTATTGCGGTTTCCCCAGGTTGCGCTGAGAAAGATCCAATCTCTTCAGGGGCCAGATTCAACTCCTGGGCTGCAGGTTTCCAACCCTTGTAAAAGAACCAGTTTCATGACATCCTACTCTATTTGGGTATTATTAAACTTCAGTAATCAGGGTGTGTTTTCCATATTGTGCAGTGCAAGCACACAAAGACAAACACAAACTTGTAGTTTTAAATGAGTTTCTCTGAAACTGCCCTCTTTTTTTTTTATATTTCAAACACCACTCCATATGAAATTATTCAAGAAAAGGAGAAAATAATTCTTTGACTGATTTAATTTTTCAAAGACACAAAAGAGATATTGTGAGTTTCATATATTTAAAAGTTCAGTCAAAAGTGGTCATTCCAAGAGCACCAAATATCAACACTGATCATGCTGGTAAGTTCTTTTATGAAGTATATTATACAGTATTAAAAACTTAGCTAAATACTTATAAGTTGTAAGTTGTAAGAAAATGTATATACAAAAGTCTCTGTATATAAAATGTATTCTTTATGTAAACGTGTATATACTGTATTTAATACATTCCCAACAAAATTAGAGAAGATTTTGAGCAACCACGGTCAGACACCTAACTTGAAGTAAAATCTATGCAAGTGAAATTAATACATTTATCATGATGTGGTTTGGAAAGCCCAGTGTAAAAAAGTAAAAAAGAAACAACATTACACTTTATTTTAAACTCTGAATGTTAGTGAGCAAGAAGTGGATGTCAAGTGCCCTGGTCATAAAATATTTTGTGCAGTAGTTTATGGTATAACATTCAATAGTATTTGCTTGATTTACAGGACAAGCCACAGAAAGCAAGTGGCTCAGGGCTTGGAAGATGAATGCAGATCCCAGTACAGTTTCAAGTATCATGCTGTCCCACAGAAGTCTCTTGAGCATCACATTTAGGGGCTGAAAACAGAAAACAGAAATTCAGGAAAAAGGTGAAGTAATTTGAACAGAAGCTGAGATATGGATAAATTTAATGTAAAAGTTACGTATGGATCAGCACAACTTTTATCTTGCAACAATCATGCTACTTACAAAATATAAGCCTTTGCTGTTTTTTTCACATTTTAAAAGCACTTTGAGAAAAAAAGAATGCATGAATTTTGAAATAAATTAGAAAGCTTGTTGCTTACCCCCCAATGTTGCCAGTATCTGCTACCACTGTTCCACAGAGCTGTGAAAGAATAAAGGAATACCATTTTCCATTTCCAACAAAAGTATTAGAAAGAATATGTTTATAAGTGGCAGTTTTCAGCACAATATCGTCACCAATCACACCTATCTCTGAAACATGTAGGTTGTCCAGAAATGACTCCCAAATTGTCTTCCTGGTTACTGGACTACATTACAAACAAAGGAAATAAGTTAGCTCTGCTCTAGCATTCATTTTTGTGATCTCGTTTGGGTTTTAAGATTTGTTCTGAGGATGAATTTCCTTCCCCAAACTCCATCAACAGTCAATGCAACAAGAGCCCTAACGTTGATGAGGCTTGACCCTTTCCTGCTTAGCTTAGACAACTAATGCCATATGCACTCAATGTCATTTGAATATATAAGTACTGCCTTGAGGAAACACTCAGGAAAATGCATAACATGCAATTATTTGTACCCATAGCACTACAGCTGTAAAAGTTAAAGGGCCTCTTATTACAAATCAGAGCCTCCTATCACTTAAAAATATTATGGTTAAATTGGAAACAGTCTCATTCAAAGATGCTAGAGATGCTGGTAAAAGGATCTGTAGAATGAAGAAAAAAAAAGTAGAAATGTAAGAAAACATGAACAGACCAGAAAACAACTCTGGTAGCCTGAGACACTTGGCCCACAGAACAGTGATCACATACCCAATTTAATCAGCAGCTTTTCAACCTATTTCAGATAACAAAATATAAGGTAGCAGTAATTTTGATTAAATTCTTGTATCAGTTATAGGTAATTAGGAGCAAGTCCATTGAATTAGGGAACTGAAGTAAAAATCTAGCTCTTAAAGTCTTTCTTCACTTTGAAAGCAAAACTAGTCTGCTTTTATTTAACCAGTGTCTTTTATGTTAATGATTTTAGGCCTCTCATTAACATAATACTGAATTATGAATAAGTCACTGAAGAGGACTTCTTTAAATATTTTTTAAAGAATTTTTAATAAAGTACCACACAGGTAATATAGCATATAGCTCAAAATTATTGAAATACATATTAAAAAAATCCAAAGATCAGAAAATTACTTCTAAAGTCTGGATGATTATAAGTTATGGAAAATATCAAAAGCCTTCACTGTGAAAATTCTCTGATGTGCCAATGGGGCAGAACTTTGAATCAAATACCTTGTAGATTAATTTAACGAGTCCCAAAGGCATACAGTGCAACATAGAGAATACCACAATACTGAATATAACACCACTAATAATATTATTATAGAAAACACTTCTTCCAAAAGGGAACAGAGGAAAAAGATCTAGGCAATGAAAAGATTCATATAAAATAGCCTTCAATTTAACTGTTATAGCCATGAGGGTTGCCAAAACATACCTCAGTTTCCATCAATATTGAGTACTTCATACGTGACTCAGAGCAGCAATAAATCATTCCAAAATACTTGTCCTCTATTTTTTGTTACGTATTAGAAGTTTGAGGCTTGCCATTTTGAATTGTTTGTTGTATTGACTCTCAACTGAAGACTTTAGAAATACTTTACAAGGCTCAATCAATGAAGTTTCACAACACCATGTTTTACAGAGACAAGGAATTTGCAGCTAAGAGAGGCTAACCGAATTGCCAAGATTTTGCAGCAAGCAAGCAAGCATCAGAAAAAGAACCCTGACTGCCTGTCTCCTACACCTGTGACTTGACTATTCAACTCTGTAAGCTTAAGACACTTTTGATCATGCAGGAACATCCATCTTTTCTCCATACAATTCCACATACCCTGCACCATCTGGTGCCTAAATATGGCAAAATCTCCTTTCTTCACCTGTTTATAAAGCCATATCATAGTCCTAGATACTCATGCCAGAAGGACCAATGAACGATTATAAACACACATTTATTGAATGCTTAGCTACTTACTGCTGTTAGAAAAATAAGATTTTTTCTTGTATTCTTTCTTTCTATTATCTAGTCTGCATATTTGATGCATTCTCATTTTAAAAAAAGGGAAGGGATAGTCTGCCCAGAGACACTGCAAGCTTTATCAGCACCTGAGCTGGGGGAAGGTGGAGGCAGAAGAGGAAGGGTGCAGGGAAGAAGTGGGGTCATCTTACTTGTTTGGGCTCTCCTCACTTGAATAAAAGCAGCAACAGTAGCAGCTGTAAAAGCATGGGCTGAGCTACTAGGGTGGAGGGACAGGCAGCAGCTCCGGGGCCTCTTTTGGTGTCCCGTTTGCCACGCCCACCCTTGAGGGAAGGATTGCCCTCCCACGGCAAAGCCTCCCAGGCAGAAAGGGGCACTGTTTCACTGCTCTCTCCTCTACCAGATACACTTCTGGACACGGCACTGTTCTTGCCTGACTCCTTATGGCTGGGCTGCACAGAGCTCTGCATGCAGTAGAAACACCCCTGGGTTGAGGGGGCCATACCAGCACCCCAGGGCTGATGCTCTTTTTACCCTGCCCTAGTTAAGATACTGCATCTGCTCATGCCCCAGATTATACTATATATGCCTTTTTTGAATATATACACTGTATTACTCGCCCTACTGATCTTCGTGTAAAACCCAGGTAAACTGAGCATGCATCCCACAGCCTTTCATTTGCTATATGTAGCACTTCAGTAGGTTTACAAATTTAGGAATACTGATTCAGAGAATTTTTTTAAAATTATCTGGCATCTAAATTTAAAGCTTATAAAAATCATTATTAAATTACTGAAACCTATTACACTGTCCACTGCTATGTAAGGCATAGTAGAAAACATTTAAACATACAGCACTTGGTACAGTGAGTAACCATGCAAAAAGAAAACAGAAAATTATTTACTTTAAAACATGCAGAAAATTGGAAAGCTGATTAATATAGTACACTAAGCAGACGTGTGAAGGCATGCAGTTTCAGACTTGGTTTACCTTGTCATAACAGGATTGTGTATACCATATAAATGCTCTTTATGATAACCATTATTACCATTTTCCATACTGTAACAAAATAAATACACCAAGAAAGACCATGTTAAGCATAAGATGCAGTATGTACAACGTGGCTAGAAAGGCATGTAAATGGATGATGATATTGTATGTTAAGGTTAGTTGTATCTGTACAAAAGAAGGTAATCTTTGCAACATTCAGAGTTACTTGAATGATACAACAACAATTTACAAAATATCCTTTATTTTAGCATGCTCCAAATTTAATTATTCATGGAGATATTTATGTTCAGTTGTATGTTTTAATGAAACCCGAAGATGTTACTTCTTAAAGTAAGATATTACATTTTAATATAAAACCTCCCGCCTTAGTAAAATAATTTTAACAAATACCAGTAAAAATGTCTTACTTTTTCATGGGTATAGTTTCAACACTAAAAAATATAAAAAAGGAAAAGCAATTAACTTATCACTAGTATATAAACATTTGTTGTATTAGGCTACATGCCCTGCTTGAGCTAGTTATGTGTGAATGTAAAGTGTAAATTGACCATTGTGAAATAAGAAAAATGCAGCGCAGAGCCTTGCTGAACAATGAATAAAATAAAGTAGGAAAAATAGTAAAAATGAAAATGAGTGAAAATAAGTAAAAACAGTTATCATAAAGTAAAATGCCAAGTCCCTGAGACAGAGGAACTGCAAATGAAAAAAAGGAAAGACTAGTTAGGGATACCTAGGATATAAAGCAAAAGGCAGCAAAGAATTAGCACAGGTAACTACAAGGCAGGCACTGTTTCCCCTGATGTTACAGCCTGGCACAGATGGCCATTTACATTTTGGAAACTTTTAAAATAAGGATTGTACAAAACTCTTAAGTCCTGAACCTGAAATATGACATCTGCCCCCATCCCAGTGCAAAGTCCCACTGAACAAGGTCCACATATAGGATAAACACACTGGTATAACAGGGCCCAAATTTGTATTCTCTGAAACGAACATATAACATTCATTTTGAGTGCAATGAAGGTTTATACAAGGCACCATTTAGACCATGAAGAAGACTACATGGTACAGAAAAGTATTCATATAATTTTTGTAGCCTTTTTAAGATTATATACTTACTCATCATACACATCCTCTGTATCCATTCTACGATAGTATTTGGATAATTTTACAGCAAAAATGATGGCAGGAATTAAAAATATTGAACAGCCTCCCAAACCAAACCAGAAGGTATTCTGGAATAAAGAAAAAACAAAACCCAGAAAAATTACATTAAAGAAAACAGTGCATCATGGAGCACTTAAAAGCTCTGCTACTTCTTTGCACATAGTGTCTTAAAATTGACCCTTAGGACTCTTGAATTTTGGATTAGCCTTATATTGGAGCACTCTAATAACACTGCTATCCTTGATACTACTTGATTATCAACCATGTGGGTTGCAAAATCATGCAGGAGAAACTACTGGCAAGATTCGGTGCACTGCAGGGCCCTTCTTCATACTGAGAGAGACTGCTATGAAATATCACACCTTAAGGAAAGTAAATAAACTGCAGGATCACCTGAATCTGTATGAACTGATTCCACAAACCATAAAAATATCCCCCATTCCAAAGTAAACTAAAGTATGAGCACCATCACCACCTGGCTGCACCCAGACAGTACTCAAGGCAGACATCCAAATTTACTCAGCCATAATGCTTCCAAGACTCAGCTCAGCCAACCAACACCAAGCCAGAAGGTCCCTGAGTCCCTAGAGATAAATCTGCTGCTAGCTACATTTTTTCCTACCTATATATTTTATAAGAGTAACCTTATTCACATTTTCTGTAGTGAGCTGAGTTTTCAGTATGTGAGAGTGTCTGATTTGAGAGCTGCAGTTCATATTTGTGTGAAGAATTGAATTAGCGCACAGATTAGCTGAGTTAGCTCCAGTTGTTAAAAGGATATTTCATACTTCATTCACACGAGTTGGAGGCACTTTGACAGTTTGAGTTCTATGTGGGCCTAACTAGATTCTTTCAGCAAGAAAAAAATTTGGTACATCCAGAATTAACTGAAAGCAAGACGTAATGCAGGATAAGAAAGGGAGAGGCTCTAAAATTTAAATCCAGTGCTCAGTGATTATAACTTGACCTTAGAAGGTTTCAGGGTTCAGATGCTTTTAACTTTTTTTATAAAGTAAGATGTGGTTCTTGTGTTAGTACTGATTATCACTTGGTTGACATTGATTAAGGATAAGTAAAAGCCAGGAGATGGCTTACAAGCGTGTGGTTTTATGTCTTACTTTTAAACACACAGCCAGCTTTTTAGGCTCCCTCAGAGTGAGAAAAGCCAATATTGTTCTTACCATACCACAAGTCATAATTAAAGTCTATACTATGCATTAACGATCTGAGATTTGTTTTCCCTAGAAGCCAAATGAAAAACTTCATTTTCCTCATTCACGTTTTCTAGATTCCAGCAAACATGTTTGAGAGAGGTTCTCTTCAATACTTATATTCTTCTTATATTCTCAGATTAAAAGATGGATCCAAGATGACACTTCAGACCTTAAATCCCTTTACATTTTATGAACGTTCAAGTACTAAATATAAATCACGCTTAAAATTTGAAATCAGAGTCAGATCCCAAAACCAAAATTTGTCTATTTAATTTGATAATCAGGAATTTCACATGAACATCTGATTTTACAAGATATTCTTGCAGTATGCGCCACAGGAGCATAGTGAAACTCCAGCCTTGGTCTGACTTCAGACTGAGTTTCAAACACTAAATAATAATCATGTCCAGAATGGAATATTGCCCTCTGTAATAAATTTGGTATTTCTCCCATCACATTTTAGAAATGGCACTGTCAAAAAAAATCAAGTGCAGAGACCTGTTTTCACAGTTCATTGGCAATGCAGTTAGGAATTCCCAATTTTAAGCTCTAATTCTGAGAAAAATGGGAAATATTTTCTTACCACAGAATCAGTTACATAGCTACATAAAAAAATATCTACTGCAGTATCTATCACATTGGCAATTGGCTTGCATGCAGCCACATCCATGGTTACCTAAAAGAGATTAAAATATTGTTCAGTGCATTTTTTAAACAAAAACTGCACTACCTTTTATCCAAACTATGGTATTAACCAAACTGTTGCTCTTATTCCATCCCTAAATAGCTTTCATGGATATATTCTATCAGTTAAGCCAGGGGTAGGCAATTATTTGGGCTGGAGGACCACATAAGGAATTCTGGTGAGCTGTTGAGGGCCCAGGGATGGGATGATGCTGACTCGACCTTGGTACCCTAGGCTTATGCTGCCTGGCCCAGTGTGCTGGTGTGGGGGGTGGGAGAACGAGCACCAGAGAGATGCCAGTTGATCCTATCCAGCCCCATGCCCCACAAACCCAGTGCTGGGGGTGCTGGATGGAGGGCGGGGGGAAGTGGGGAGGGATCTGTGGAGTCTGTGGAGACCAGCCCAGGACCCCAGGGCCCAGCTGGGCAGATAGGATGGGGCTCCTGGTAGGTGGGGAGTGGTGTCCAGGATCAGGATGGGTGGTTGGAGCTGGGATTGTGGGATGGTGACAGCATGGGCCAGGGCCTGGGACAGAGCCATGATCCGCTCCTTGCACATCTCTGCAATGGGCACCAGTTCCCTGCCTTGTAGTTCCCTGCAGAACCAGTGCTTGTCACAGGAACGTGCGGGGAGTAGATCTCTAGCCCCAGTCCTGTCCCAGATGCCACTCCCTACTTGCCAATGGCCCCATCTCATTTGCCTGGCTGAGCATGCCCTGCTTAGCCAACCTGCCCCCTCTGTCCAGCACCACGTTTGGCAGTGGAGACACTGGCAGCGGCAGCCACAAGTGTGAGGGCAGAGCAAACTGCTACTGGGAAGCTGAGTCCAGCTGCTGTGCTGTTCCTGCCCCACCACCTGGTCCTGTGGACTATAGCTCCTGGAGCACCCAGGACATGCAGATAAGGGTGCCCTGCACTCCACTCCAGGCAGTAGCTCTGTGCCCAGAGGTGGTGGGACCAGCCACATGTGCCACAGCCCAGGTTGCCCCCTGGGCTTGGGCCAGCTGGGGCAGGGCCAAAGGACCCACCGGGGCCAGAGAGAATCACATGGCAGGCTGGGTCCAGCCCATGGGCCATATTTTTCCCATCCCTGAACTAAGCACAAATCATGCCTTGTTGATTTGGCTTTCTTTTTTTAAGATAATGATGAGCACAAATCTTAAAACAAGGGCAGCCTCAGCCGAACAGATTGCAGAGAGGACTTTTCCTATCTGCTCCCATAAAAACTCTCATGTAATTCATTTTGTCCACATTTATACACCAGAAAAAGCTCATGATTTTCATACTGCTATAAACACAGCAACATTATTTAGTAGGGCTGTGGGAAATTTCACCGGGTGTTTTGTTTTGAAGCTGTTTCGATGCGTTTCGAGCTTGAAACAGCAAAATCAAAATGAAACAAAAGGTTTCAAAACAGTTTGGAAATGAAATGAGGGCACTCAAAACATTTCAAGTTTCGAAGCTGGGCTTGCCTGGCTTCAGCACCAGTCTCAGCTGGCAGTGGCAGTCTGCTGTCGTCCCGCGTGCCCCCAGGGAAGAGTTTGGCACAGGCTCGCAGCCCTCCTGGGGGGTGTGGGCTCCTGGATCCACATGCAAGATGACAGGATGCTGCCACCTGGGACCGGCACTGGGTGCAGCCCACACCCAGCGCTGGGAAGACTGCTGCCGCCGCTGGCCCTAGGCAGCAGCAGCAGCCTCCTGTCATCCCGCATGCAGATCTGGGGGCCTGCATCCCCGGGAGGGCTGCAGGGCTATGCCGGACTCCTCCCGGATCTGCGCGCAGGATGATAGGAGGCTACCGCTGCCGGCAAGTGATACGAGTTTTCTTTTCAACTGTTTGAGGTGAAGTTTCCCAGAAACCTCTGCACCTATCTCCTTAAAACTTGGTAGGCTTCATGCCCTCAGAAGGGACTACCACCCCTATAATTTTCATCTGAATTAGGCAAGGAATGCCAAAGTTTTAGGCATTTTCACAATTCCCCATTATAGTCTATGGGCAAAATGTCGAAACACATTGAAACAGTGAAACAGTTTCGACGAAGTGAAATGGAACAGTGCTTTGAAACTAAATGACAACACGAAACACTGTCGCTTTAAAACGGAAGTCAAAATGAAACGGTGCTGTTTCACACAGCCCTATTATTCAGAGGAAACACGCTAAATAGATTACACTTTTTTGCTATACTGGACATGTAGAATTTATTAAACAAAATATAAAACAATTTCAGAATAAAAGGGATAACTTATTTATTCTCTTTACAGACTTGACTATACTTTACATTTTTTCCCTTCTCTCAATGAAGTAAATGCATCTTACCGACTCTTTGACCCAGTTAACATATTGCTCGAAGTAGCCTATAATCATATCCATGTACTTTTTAGTCTCCTTAAAAAAAGAAAGTAAAATAAATAAATATTAACATCTGAAGCGCTATAAACCCAATAAACTAATTAAAACCAAAGACAGTTTACCTGGACAATAACTAGCGAAGCATTGTTGTTTATGAGGAGCTGAGCAGCATTAACAGCATTAATCACATGTTTTACTTTTTCCTGAAAAAGAAAGTATGCAAGTTAAGCCCCTTCCAGAGCTACTATAATGGCAACACTACTATTGTATTTCCCACCATTTTTCTAAGTAAATAAATACCACTGTCTTGATAAAGATGCTAAAATATTTAAAGACAACAGTGATTCTTCATATAGCAAGTGCAGTGTCCTGGCACTGCCAGAATGGAACGATTTACTCCAAATCAACAGACCCATCACCAGTATCAGAGGCAGGCATCTCAACTGTTATAAACTATAACTTCTCCCATTCTCCTTTTTTATACCTATGCATGCTTCTAGATTGGGGCGAGCAATTATTTTCAGCAGAAGGCCGCTTACTGAGTTTTAGCAAGCCATCGAGGGCCGCATGATAGGCAGCCAGGGGCAGATTAATATTAATTTTCTAAATTTTTTAGGGGCCCCGCAGGCCAGATAGAATGTCCTGGCGGGCTGCATCTGACCCGTGGGATGCATTTTGCCCACCCCTGTTCTAGACTTTATCGCTTCTTCCTAGGGGTAGATTTTTTAATCTTTGACGGCCAGACACAGTAAGCTATGGATTCCACAGCAGCACAGATAAAAAAGTGAGACTTCATTTATTTAAAACAAAATTAAAATGAACTTTTTTGATGGCAGCAGCAATTTTATATCCCAACCTACAACTCAAAAGAACAGGGAAGGGAGAGGACAGGACCATGTACTATCATAGCTGTAGATTACCATATAGAAGTTTATTCTCTTAAAATATATAATCCAAAATATAAAAACATAAGAACTGCTCTTACTGAGTCAGACCACAGGTCTATCTTGCCCAGTGTCACACAGTGGCCAAGTGCATTTAGGAAGTTCTGATTCAGAGGTTGCACCCCTAACTCCTACGTTCAATAACTACTGGTGCAATTTCCTCCAGGAATTTGTCCAATCCCTTTTGGAATCCGGCAAACTGTCAGCTTCTACAACAGCTTGTGGCAATGAGTTCTACACTTTAATTACATGTGGTGTGAAAAAGAACTTAAATTTTGTTAATAATTGTTACACGTGGTGGACATGATCTACTTAGACTTCAGTAAAGTCTTCGATTTGGTTTCCTATGGGATTCTCTCAAACAAACTCAAGGATGCTGGACTTGATCAGTCCTCAGTGAGGTGGGTAGACAATTGGCTGCTTCTATCAGGTGGTAACTGATGGGCTGGCCTCATCCTGGAAGGCCGCCTCCAGTGGCGTCTCCCTGGGATCTGTGCTGGGACCCGTTCTCTTTAATATATTCATCAATGATCTGGATGAGGGGGTGGAAAGCTCAATTATTATGTTCACAGATTATACCAAGCTGTGGGGAAATGCAGGCATGCTGGACGATAGGGCTAGGATCCAGGAAGATCTCAACAGGCTGGACTCTTGGGCGAAGCAGAATCAGATGAGATTTAACATGGATAAGTGCAAAGTCTTTCACCTGGGTATGAAGAACCTTCACCACAACTACACAATGGGTGGTGGCCCATTGGCTGGCACAGAATCTGAGTGAGACCTGAGGGTTACGATCGACCAGAAAATGAAAATGAGCCAGCAGTGCGATGAGGTCGCTAGGAAAGCAAACAGAGCTCTGGCGTGCCTTAGCTGATGTGTGTCCAGTAGATCCAGGGAGATGCTTCTCCCTCTCTATTTGGCACTGGTGAGGCCTCAGCTGGAGCTGCCGAATAGATAGGGAGAAGTGCTCTGGGCTCTGCACTTCAAGAGGGACATGGATAAGCTTGAGAGGGTACAAAGAAGGGCCCTATGAGGAGAGGGACCTGTTCAGCCTGAGTATGAGAAGGCTGAGAGGTGACCTGATGGCTGCCTACAAGTACATTAGGGGAGAACACAAAGATCTGGGGGAGCAACTCTTCAGGAAGGCACCTCAAGGGAAGACAAGGACAGTCATAAATTTATAGAAGGCAAATTCAGGCTAGACATAAGGAAGAACTTTTTCTCCATAGGGGTTGCTAGAATCTCACTCCCACCAGAGGTGGTGCAGTCACCATCATTGGAGGTGGTCAAGAAGAGGCTGGATAGGCACCTTGCTGAGCTTGTCTAAGCTCAATAACTTCCTGCTCACAGCAGGGGACTGGAATTAATGATCCTACAGGTCCTTTCTAGTTCTACAATTCTATGATTTTAAATTTACCACCTATTCAGTTCATTCTGTGACTCCTAGTTCTTGTATTATGAGAGAGAGTAAATAATCAATCCCTATTTACTTCCTCTTTACCATTTAGTATTTTGTAAACCTGTATAATATACCCCCCTCAAGTAGCTCTTTTCCAAACTGAATATGAAAATGTTTTAAAGACAGACAATTTTTCATTTTGAAAACAAAAATCTCAAATTACTTCCTAATGAAACACAAATGATAATGTTCACACAGCCCTATTCAAATAACCTGCTAAGTTTTCACTTCTTCCCAACAATCATATTCTTACCAACCCATTACACATTAAGGCCTCTTACCTGCTTGTGTCTACTCAGGGCACAATAGTTCTGAAATGATTTCACAGGGCTAAAAATTAGTTCTGGCAGGAACTGGAGCAGATATGGGCTAAATAGGCTCATATAACCATAGGTACTGCTGGGCTGCAGCTAGACTGCTGCACTGCAGCTGGACTATTTCTGCAGGAATCAAGACAAGCTGATGGTGAAAAGGCTCACTGCCCTGCAGCTGATCCTTAAGACTGGTGGAGCATGAAGAAAGTTGCTGTCGTGGCAAGCAGCATTAACTTCTATTAAGGGAGGAAGTATGTGGATGGCCATAAGGAAAGCCCTTGTGCGGGTCAAACCTCCCGAAGTTTGGCTGATGCTGTGGAAGTCGGACAGGGTGCTGACAGACAGGCACCCTCCCCCTCCCCACCCCCCACTGTAACTCATGGTGTTTTACATAGAGGTGGGGGAAGGGCGAAATCAAGCTCCACTTCGGAGCCAATCGAACTGGAGAAGGCTGCCTGCAGCCTCTGTCCCCTAGTCCTGCCACCCCACCTAGCTCTGTGGCTGTCTGCAAGAAGGGAGGAAGGATGGGGGAGGTGAAGCGAGCTTCAAATTGGGGTTTTCCCAGTCACAGGTGGAGGAAGAGGGGGTGGGATGGGGCCATGAGGTGTGAGGGGGCTCCAATCCACTCCTCTGCCCCACAACTCAGGCCAGGCAAACCCCAGCTGCAGCTTGCTCCCCCTCCTCAGCCCCGCTCCCTTCCTACAGACAGCCCAGATCACGCAACAGATTAAGCCTAGGGAACACAAGTTCCCTAAGCTAAAGTATTCCAAAGTGGAGTGCATTCATCTGATCCCTCACTTTATGAGGGTTATTTTGTCACAAAATCGGCCACTTTAAAAGTGCTCTGCAGCCACGCATGTGTGTTACGGCATGGCTATAGAGAGCGCTTTCAGGGGGCCAATCACACAACAGATGCACTATGCTATAGGACAGATATCCAACTGAATGCTGGGGCCCCCTCCATATGTTACAGGTATCACACAATTAATTGGTTAATTGTAAAATTACCTTTAGATTAGCCACATGTGCAAAGTAGCTATTACGCCATAAAAGGCACCAACCAACTGTGAAGTTAGAGTATAAAAACATGTACTAATTTTATAACTGGTTGCTATCAAGCTTTAATTTGCACATGTAGCACAGTCTCCCTTGAGGCTTGGAGCCGCATCAGCTGGCAGGACTCCCAGCTGCAGGGGTATACCACATCCAGCTGGAGTGGGAATACCACAACTGAGGGGACTCGCAGCCTCAGCAGCTGCAGATGCTGGGCCCTGGCAGTGTGACTCCTGGGCACAGTTGCGATCTCCCAACCCCAGCAGTGCATGAAACCCCCAGGGCTGAGAGACTGCAGCTGCCACTGTGTGTAGCATGGCAGGAGGCATGACTACGTAGACTGCAAATTAGATCCCATTGTGCCCTTACGTGATGTGTAGAGGGGCCTTGGAGAACACTCTCTGGAGGATGTCAGTGAGCTAAAATTTTTGTGTAAGTTTTTGGGTTGTTTTTTTTGGTTTTTTTCAAATAAGGACGGGTAAGGCAAATTCTTTTCAATTAATGGTAGCCAGTTGCTGAGTAACATACATATCACAGTACATAAGATTGTTCCAATGCTTTTTTTACTATGTGAGAATTAAATTCCCAGTAGCATGTTTATAAAGCCAAAAATGTCATGATTTATGGCTGCTTTCTGACCATGATAACTACGTTTGACCAATAGTACTCAG